GAAGACACCAACTTGTGCGCCATCCACGCCAAGCGTGTCACCATCATGCCCAAGGACATTCAGTTGGCCCGCCGAATCCGCGGAGAACGAGCATAAGTGGACTGCACTACTACAAGACACAAACGGCTCCTTTAGGAGCCACCACAGGAATAAAAGCAATGACCATACTACGAGCCCCTATCTATTTATCCCGAAGCATATAGAACTAGACGCATAGCTGCATGAACTCGGGCTTTCAATATCACACATCTGAAGTTATCTTTAGGGGACTGCCATATTGCCATTGTTACTGTCGCCTCGCAATTCCGTCTTTGCCGGTCATGAATACGTCTACTTGTGTTTATTTTTGTTTGCTGGAGTGTAATGAATGTTGTTATGGTACTAGATAACAATCGAAATAATATATTATTATATAGGAGTAGGTTACTACAGAATCCAAGGGTTGAAATTCAAGGACTTTTCAATGACTTTGAAGGCCATATTTTAGAAAATTGAAGGACCACTTTTGGAAAGGTTTGCATAAGCAATTTTAAAATCATTTAATATTATTTCTCAGCTTTTCCATGAAAGTACTGTTATTTTCAACTTGAAAATTGCTTAGAAAAAGCATTGCAAAAATCAAGCCCTAGTCCTCAAATTCAAGTACTTTCAAGTCCTTGAATTTTTTATTTTTAAATTCAAGCACCTTCAAGGACTTTCAAGGCTATTACAAACCTTGAGTAGGTTATGTATTTGCCTTTAACTGGAAGGAGAAGGAAATTTTTCATCTATTACTGGTACCGAGTCATAGTTTGTTGCCAATTGATCACCCAGAGGGAATTGTCAGAAATCAGTAGATTGAAGCAATATTAACGTTCAGTAGTTTATATTGTTTTTAACGGAAAAATCTCTGAATGTTGTTGATGGCCCCAAGAAGAGAAGTAGTGCTATTTACAGTTTTAGTATATTCAATAAGAGGCATTTGACTTTCATTAAATACCAAGAGGGAGTTAACATATTTTGACCTTTTTGTGGGTTTAAAAATACATGTCATACTAAAAACTGAAAACCTCATCAAAAACCCTGTGCATTCACCATTATTTCTTACAAGATTTTCAAGTATTAAATTTTCATATAATCTTTTGCCATACTGAATAACATTAGATAAGGTGTTTGAATTCCAAGACGTACATGATTTTATTACAGAATAGCAGAGTGAATAGACAGCCACAGCACAACTCATATTGAACTTTCTGGTTTCACAGGCATGACTCTGAAAAAGGGTACTATTTTTAACTCTTGTTAATTGTAACCCCTTTCAACTCAAATATATCATTGTTATGTATACTCTGAAAATAATGTTCTAACTATTCAGTGATGATACTTCAAGCAGCACACATGTACCTTGAGGATGGCTTCTACAATAAATATCCCTTGCACGAGAATCGAATATTTTCAAGCCCCCATTACCTTCACAATAGATAGCAACTGCAGTACACCTTATTGTCAAGACAAAATTGTTGAAATTTTCAGATAAAAGTGATTGAAAGGCTCTTCAGTCTTGAACACATTTAAAAGTGTGGGTAATTCTGTCTGCATTAAAAATGATTGTCTGGTTAACTGAGAGAAACTTGAATACAACTGATTTCCAATACTCATTATTGACAAGAGATCATTAGCAGAATTGATTCCCTGTTTGTTATTGTAAATCAAAGAGCATAAACTCTTTGCAACACATTGTTGTCCTGAGTTTTGTCCAAATACCAATTCATTAGCTTGGCTATAGGGTGCCATTATTAATTTGCTAGGGTCAATGTACATTGGAGTAGGACCAGGATTTTTCTCAACATCTGAACTCATTTGAAACTTTCAATAGTTTGATGCATGTGTCTGACTCCTTTAATATAAAGACACAAGGGTCTATTACAAGAAAACATTGATAAATACCACCTTGCTCTATACTAATTCAACAAATACTTCTTATCATGTTTTGTTCCTTTATTTAATCTCACCCTCTTCGTATTAAGCTTACAAATATTCTTTGTAACTCTTCTAACCTTCACATAAAGACGTAGCCAAGAGGACTTCGGTACATAAATTATGCTTGGACTAATACGCACATAAACAAATTCCTTCAGTTTTCTGCCCTTTCTTCTGAGACGTTTCAGAGTAGCTTCTGATATTCTACTGGGTTCTCGATCACGTCTAAATACACGGGTGTGTTTACATGTAAACATAACATGACATAACATAACTCAATTGATGTAGCAGGTTTCTACGATGGCCCAGAAGGGTCACAGTCCAGTTTTAATTTTTGACGGTCCAGTTTTAATTTTTGACAGTCCAGTTTTAATTTTTGACAGTCCAGTTTTATTTTTTTTGACGGTCCAGTTTCATTTTTTTTGACAGTCCAGTTTTATTTTTTGACAGTCCAGTTTTATTTTTTTTGACAGTCCAGTTTTATTTTTT